ACTTGGGAAGCTTGCTAAAAATACTGACACAGACACTCTAGGGCATGTCTAGGTGGCCATCCTCACACAATTGAAGTGGGACTTCTCAGCTCTGCAGCAAAATGCCTGGATTTCCCAACCATCATTCTCCACAGAGAGTTCCGTTCGGTGTTTGGGCACAAAGAACAATTTCATTGGGGAAAATAACTGATGAATGCATCCACGTTTTGTCCTTACTCTCAATACCAAAGGCAGAGCCGAAATACCAGGAAGCAGCTGACTCTTCATAAGTTCATCTCGTGGAGCTGTAGTACTTCAACTACAGGCCAGGGACCAGGAATTTACTAGACATGGGAATTCCCAGGCTTCATGGCAGACCTCTGGGGGCGGGGCCCAGGCATTTAACAAGCTTCGCGTGATTCTGATGCCTGTGAACTTTAGCAGCACCATAGTAGACTGTTTCCTAAACCTTTCTGATGTTAGGAGATACCGAATCAGGCCCCTCTGTGGGCAATGTGATTCTGAGAAGCTGGAAGGAGACCTGGAAGGGGGATTTGTGTAGGTACCCTCAGGCCACTCTTATCTTTCAGTTTAGGAGACTCTAGGCACAGTTTGGATTTCTTTACCTCCATGAATTGTGGTAGAGGCAGATGTTTCATGAGATACATGTTAAAAGAATCACTGGTGGAGCTTCTGCTAAACTCAAGCCTTTTCCTAAACTCTCGTCACTCACCATATCTGGGACAGGCGGTAGAGGAGTAAATAACATGTCCTGGCCTCCTGCAGTCGAGTGACTTAAATGGAGAAGGGGTAACTTCCATGAAAATGGCTCTGTGCCCAGGGATGCAGAGTGCTAGTGCTGCAGCTCGGGTCCTTGGCAAAGACCCAGCACCAAGCCCAGGCACAGAGGACTCCAGGAGTACTTTCTAGCAAACTTTGCTGGAGAAAAGTGAGGCCCAGAATCAGAGCCCCTTCCCCACAGGCAGAACTGAGGGAGCAGTGCCTGCCACTTGTGCTGGGAGCCTGGGCAGCACCCATACTTAACTTGCTTCAGGAAAACAACGGAATGCGATGTTTCTTTTACCAGGCACACATGGAACGATTTTAAGAAAACCAGAACACCAGCAGGGAAATAAAGTGTGAAAAATGTTGCTTTAAAAATGCTGCTTCTACCTTCTGCTTTATCTCCTACATCTCAAATTCTATAAAGCCTTTTATAAGACCTTATAGTCTCTTTATTTCACCCCATCAAGCAGCTCACCATTTCTTTGTCTTGCTAAAATAATCTCATAACATTAGTAAACTTTTTCTTTTATAAGCTCTAAATTCAGGAAACATCAGACCCTACTTTGGATAAACAATCAACCTGTTTACAGAGCTTTCTTCCAGTATATCAATCCTAAAGAGCTAAATGTTTAAGGTTTAAAACCTTAGTCTTCAGTCAAAATTATATATATTGAGTTTAGCAGAGTGCTTGCTTTGGAATAATAAATAATGATGGCTCCCATTTCCTCTGTCTTCAATTACAAGCATCATCTTATAAAAGTGCTGAATGTGCCTGATTTCCTGGTGTGAAAAGAATGATAGGAAATTCAAATAATGCAGCTATAAATACAAACACCAGTTATTGCTTAAAGGGCACTAAAAGCCTACACTCCCGATAGATCCTGCCAGATGAAGAAAGAAACCTAGTTTGCTCACCCGGAATATAAAGAAAGAACGATTCCTGATTTTAGTGAATGCTGAAAACATTTTTTTTCAGGTGACACACTGAAGTGTATATGAACCCCTTGTTTCTGAGACCACGTCTGCCAGGAGGAAAAAAAAATAAAGAAGCCAGATTGCACAGATGCCTCCAAATCTCTTTTCATTTTCCAGATATTTAAACTTCATTCTCCACTGTCTACTGTGGATATGTCATTTCTTGTTTGAAGGAAGTTACCTCATTCTTAGCCTTGGGCTAATATCAGCACCTAATCACACAGGGTGGTACAAAATAGTCCAGGGTTGGGCGCCTGGGTGGCTCAGTCAGTTGAGCATCTTACTTCAGCTCAGGTCATTATCTCACGGTTTGTTGAGTTCTAGCCCCACATCGGGCTCTGTGCTGACAGCTCAGAGCCTGGAGCTTGCTTTTGATTCTCTCTGCCTCTCAAAAATAAAGAAACATAATAATAATAATAATAATAATAATAATAATAATAATAATGATAATAATAATAATAATAAATAGTCCAGGGTTCCTTTCTAAGAAAATGGTACTGTGATCGGTGGTGCTCTCCATTCTTCTGTCTCCGAAGCTGACAACCTGCTCCACTCCTGTCAAGAATCACAGCTCCCCTGTCTCAAGGGGAAGGCCGCCATGATTTAGGCATATGTGATAGCTAAGTGGCATTCAAAAGCCTCATCTTTAAGTTCTTAGCATTCATTGGGCCCTTTAAAACATAACCTTCTTCTTTTCTTTGACAGCTCCTTTAATATGGGAGCTCATAAAAGGTCCTCTGTAGCTGGGCCTAGGAATTGACAGTGTGGTCACATCTCCACGTAGCCTTGTTAAGTCTTCACCCACCATCACCCAGAGTTAGAAGTGGAAGCTTTGGGCTGCCACTCTCTTCAGCATTAAGCCCTTCCTATGTCATTATTGCCATCCCCATGGGATCAGGCAGTCTGAATACTAGTTCTTAATTTGGTTAATAAGATGGCCTTAAAATATGAGCCTTGAAAGTGCCCCCATAGTTCCATCCAGACCACGAGAAACTGTCTTGAAAACACAGACTTGAGATAATCCTGGTTGACTAAGCCCTGGCTCAGCCTTTGCAGAATAGGACTCAGCACGTTCCAGGATATATGTTATAGACCATATGGTCTCAAGAAAATCTCAATTTTTGGTCATGTCATTCTTACTGTCTACTTATTTATAGCAAAGGGGAAATTTTCTCTTTAAGACCCATCAGACCCATAAGAAAAATAAAATGGGACAGTTGCCTCACTGAACTTTTCCTTTCTCATTCCATCTAGTTTAGTTCTGCTTCTGCTTCCACTTCAGTTAGTTTATTCTGTGATTAGTCTTAGAACAAGTGTTTGGGGTAGGTCCAACATCCCCAGTGGTGGTCCACAGAGTTGCCTGCTCATTTCAGTATTTCACTTTTGTAAAAAGGCATTTACTATACTCCAATAAAAATAAGGAATTCAGGTGGTTCTGAATCTACTGAGTATATTATTAATGTTCTCTAAGACTCCCTCAAATAAATATTAAGTTCTTCCTGGAAACTGGGGTCATGATACTTTTGTTTCATTTGATATTGACTCATGAGATTATTTGGTGCAAGGTCTTGCTATTAGTTTCCCTTTGAATGTACAGAACTACGATTACACAGGTACGGTCATATCTGAATGTGTAACATTACAAACAATGGAGTGCCTTACTGGCTCAATATGGTTGAATGCACATGTGTCTCTTTCTGGACTCACTGTTCTGTACAGATCATCTTTTTTCCTATCATGGCATCAGTAGCACACTATATTAATTACTGTAACTTTGTTTTATATCTAGGAAGTGTAAGTCTTCCAAATTTGTTGTTGATCTTCAAGAAGAAATATCTCTTTGCATTTCCACATAAGTTTTATGCTTGTCAATTTTCACACAAAAAAAAAAACAAAAACAAAAACAAACTTCTTGAGATTGTAGTTGAAACCACCCTAAATGCATGTCAATTTAGGGAGAAATGACATCTTCACAATGCTGAGTTTTCCAACCTAGAAACACAGAGTATCTCTTCACTTTTTAAGGTTTTTATTTTTCCTCAAGCATGTTTCATAATTTTCTGTACAGAGATCTTGTATAATTCTTGGTAGATTTATATCTACGGATTTGACTTTTTGCAAATGATTTTTTAAATTCCTTTTTTCTAATTGATTACTGGTATACAGAAATAAAATGATTTTTTTAAGATTTATGTTATATTCAGTAACTCTATTAAATTAACTATTAATTCTAACAGTTTACCTGTAATTTTTCTGTATTTCCTCCATTCATGTCACAGGTAACTGTTTTTAAAACCGTTTTTAAAAAATTATTTGTGGGTGGGAGGGTGGCTAGATGGGTGATGGGTATAAGGAGGGCACTTGTGATGAGCTATCGTATGTAAGTGAAGAATCACTGAATTCTACTGCTGAAATTAATATTTCACTGTATGTTAAGCTTTAAATTAAAAAAAATAGTTAAACCCACAGAAGTTAATATAGGCCTTAACCACAAGAAAAAAGAGACTCTTTCTCTCTCTGCCCCTCTACTCCACTTGCGCTCTCTCTAAAAACAAACAAATAAAAGAAAAAAAAAAGAATTGATCTGTAATACTCTAACTCATGTAGCTGGCAAAAAATATTATTTTCATGTTAGAGCAGTTCACATATAGAACTCAGTATTTTAGATTAAAACTGTTCATGTTAGATCAGAACACCTACTAGACTATTGGCCTCAGCACGGAAGAATACAAATGCACCCAATATATTAAAAAACATGTTTATTTTCTCAGAAGATCAGGAAATACATATTCTGTAGGCACTACTCCCCTACCTTACCACCCCTGCCCCCTGCCCCGGCACAGAGAAAAGAATGCTGGCTTTGGCCAATCTATATTTCCCTAGTTCTTTCTCTTTAAGCATGAAAGACAAGAAAAGACTGGTTCAAATGACATATTTTATTTGTCTCTCTGGACATTATATTCTTCTGATATCACCAGTGATGATATCTCGCATGACTTCTAGAAGACTTCCTCTCCCCACTCCCTTATCCTCTCTCCCGAATCGCCTTCTTCCTAGGGCTACCCAGAAGCTCCCCGTGTCCAGGGTAGGTCACTTCTCACTAAGGAGACTTCCCTTGCTCACAGGGAGGGAGATCTGAGGTGGCAAGCGGGTCTGGTCTGGCTGCATCAGACGACAATGGAGACTGAAAGAAGACCCAGTCCACCCACTGTCAGACCCACCAGAACAACGGACACAAAATAAAGCACCAGGGCCTCTGGTTCTGTCTTCAGCAATATTTATTGGAAACGGCAATGCTTCCTGTGGTAAGAGGTTTATACATTAAGCAGTAAGATTTGCCTTTCACTCCACATGACCCACTACCGCAGGCGGCACATCCGAAGCAGCACATTAAACCTCTGAAAGAATCTGTACAGCTAGATAAATAGAACTCTGGATACCTAACAGGACTTAATGACTGATACCAAAAAAAAAAAAAAAAAAACCCCAGAAGAACAAAAAACCACTCATAAGCTTACACACGGCACTGTACACACAACACGAAGATGGAACAGAAGGGACAGAAAGAAAAGTAATGACTGAGTTGGGAAAAACTTTTGCATCTGCAGCCACACATCTTACTTAAACTGCTAAGCACAAAAATCATCTTTATTTGGTCCTCACTGAGGGCAGAATATGCACAAATGATGTTCAAAGAACACAAGGTGGAAGTGGAAAGGAAAGACAATTGCTGTTTCTTGGTCTAGGGACTAGTTGAAAAATGGTTTCTTGTGTTTTTCTCTTGTGTCTCTGTGCCAAACGGACTCATGAAACATGTAATTCATAAATAAAACTGAAGTGAAGTGATTTTTGATCCCTCTTCCCTGTACCTTCAGAAATGGCCTAAATATATACATCGTTTCTCTGCAGCAAGAAATTTAAGCTTGGAAACCAGATGTCTTCCCAATTCCTCATAATGGAGAATCTCTTCTCTTCAGCCCCTCTCACAATATGCTGATTGCCAACTGTCACCGTAGTACTTAGAAATAACAGCGGGAGTCCCCCTCTGGCTTTATTAGCAGGGTGAGAAGAAAACTTGCTGTCCCTCAGAAACACGCATATGTGAGAGGAACAAAGGTGACAGTTTTAAGAAAAGGTTTTTAACTCGCACTCAACACTTTGCTACCTATAGCATCAAGGGACTAATTCATTCAGACCAGAAGACAAGTTGCTGGTGAGGGAGGCTTTCTTCCACAATTCTGTGACTCACATATTTGGGAGGGGCAATGTGAAAGCAAGAACTTTCTCCTATTGAAACGGAGAACCTGAGACCTTGAGATGGCCCCTGGGTGATAGACAGTATCTTCAGTAGGATGTTTTTTCTGTGATGTGGCTCATGGTCATATTCTAAGAAGCCACAACCTCCTGAGAACTGTGTAAACAGCAGTTCCATGACTACTGGCTGGTCTCAGATGGTGTTTAAAAAGCACATGCCATGCCCACCAGCCTAAGAAGATACCACCCATCACCATGACTCTTGTGGGATCACACAAGTCAACCAAAGATACTCGGTGGGGCTTGATGACCTGGACCACTGCGGCCTGCACTTGGGATGTGTTGTAAGCAGCATTACCAAAGCAGTGGTTAAACTTAACTATCTGGGTCAAGAGGAGGTAAGCCTGCCAGCCTAACATCCTAATGAGGCAGGGCAACCAGAATCTCCACATAGTTGATGGGGAAGAAGCCTGACTGGCCATGAAGCATCCCCTCATACCAGTTCTCATCAATTTGGTTAGTGAGTGTGATGATATCACCCTCTTTAAAACCCAACTCCCCTTCATTTTCAGGTTCAAAGTCGTACAGAGCTCGGCAGCAGGGCTGATCCATTGGGGCACCTGGAAGTGAAAGCAGGAGAGAAGAACACAGAAAGACAAGGGGTATTTAAGTCACATATCTACCACCTGCTGCACCTGCCCGGCTTGCTGTCCCCCTTGATTCCTCCCTCACTCCTCTTCCTGCTGAAGCTTCCTCTTGCGGCTCATGCCGAGTCCACTGCATGGCATCTGCTCTTTACCAGTCTTCAGAAGCTTTCTCAGATTTCTGGAAGTTGTTCGATGCCTGCTTCCATGTCCAGTATGAAAAATAGCCTCATCTACGTTTGTAACACATGCGCCACAGTCCATCAAGTTTTGCCTTCCTGATGATGTCCAGAGATGGGAGACCCAGTGACTTAGGGAGTTTTAATGAGATTTAGGTCAATAATATAACAAGGCCAGAACCCTTTCCATGTTAGCATTTTAAAATCTCTGCCCATGTGAAAGAGTCAAGTTAATTACATGAAGAATGCTTGGCAACCTCAGAATAACAGTGCAGTTTTCACTTTTGAAAGATAAAGACTCCAGCCTCTGCGAAACTGCTGTAATGTGGTGAAAACAAAACAATATAAGACACCGGGTTCAAGTTCATATTCTGGGTGACCTTGCACAAGGCACTTATTTCCCTTTCAGTTTCTTTGTCTAACATTAGAATTCACAGCAGAACTTACTCCACACTACTACTGTGGCTATTAACTGAGATCATGTAAAAATTATATAACTTTGTAAATTGTTACATATATAAATAATAGGAGTACATCAGAGTTCTGGCGTACAAAATATAATGTACTCTACCTTGAGTAAAATAATGAAGAATGGAATTGTATCTTAAAAGTGATCTGTTTTAAGTGAGCATATATATTTTATACAGCATGTATCCACATAGGCACATCAACTCAGACAAGTGCATACACCTCCCATGTCTTCTAGATGGCTTGAAAGGGAAACAACATAACCTACTTTTTTTTTTTTTTTTTTTTTTTTTACTTAAAGCAGAAAATGAGCAAGTCTCCAAAGAAAGGGTTAAACATGCGGTTGGCTTCTGAACAGGGAGAAGCAAACTAGTCACAACAGACATGACTAGTGCTTGTGGCCAGCTAGCTTCTAAGAGCCACTGCTGTTTATAATACCTGACCCTGGGGGCTCCGAGAAGCCAAGGGGAACGCAGAGGGTAGAGGGCGCTGACTGTCACCACACACCTGTTTTCCTTCATGGTCTCCTGAGAGCATCTCACAAAGCATTTCTTACCACAAAACATTAGCACTGGGCTACAGGGAAAATAGGAGACACTGCATATCTTTGAAGTCCACATCCAGTTTTAAGAGAGTTTCCACTTCTTCAACCAGGTAAATGTTAAGGTTGAAAACACCTCAAGCACAGGTTTTTACCTAATCTGTGTGTAGGGGGTGGAGAGCAATGGTGCCAACTGAAAGAATATATTACTGGGTATACATCAATATTCCTGATACAAAATAAATTTTAGCTTTTACTGTACCAACCTCAGTTACACGGCATAATGAGTTGGTTGAAGGTTGCGGAAGGAGAGGAAGAGAGCAGATGTTGAGATGAGGAATACACTCATCTACAGATATATTCAGCCATTTGCTCCCATGACTTAAGAAATCCAATTGGACATGTTCCTGGAGCTGCTGTCTGTGGGTTATATGTGAGTGTATGTGGGCACGCCCTGCCAGGGGCATTTTCTCTCATGCGTTCTGGAACACAGAGAGTAAAACAGGGGAAAAAAATGATATTGCTGGCACCAAATTGGCTCATTAAGGTGACAACACAAGAGAAGGTCCAAATCAAATGTGTTACTTAAGAGGTTAATGTGGGGGCGCCTGGGTGGCGCAGTCGGTTGGGCGTCCGACTTCAGCCAGGTCACGATCTCGCGGTCCGTGAGTTCAAGCCCCGCGTCAGGCTCTGGGCTGATGGCTCAGAGCCTGGAGCCTGTTTCCCATTCTGTGTCTCCCTCTCTCTCTGCCCCTCCCCCGTTCGTGCTCTCTCTCTCTCTGTCCCAAAAATAAATAAAAACCGTTGAAAAAAAAAAAAAAGAGGTTAATGTGTGCTAATGATGGAGAGTGAGAGAAAAGGGGACAAAGAAAGTTTCCTAGAGGAGACAAGAGGGAAAAGGAGGAAAGAAATGATCAATGAGAAAAGAAGGAAGGAGTGCTTTGAAAGAGTTTCTACCTGACAAAACCATCCTGTAAGAAATGTATCACTGTACAGTTCTTGTGCAGCCCGACTGGACTGCACCTAGAATTTACGGACAAGTGCCAATGGGAGGTGCCCAAGGCTCTTATAATGGGGTCTGCAGGTCTCAGCTCCTTACCTGCAGGTTTGGGTGTACTGGTGTGCGAGAGGCCCCCGTTGGGCTGAGTACTGTCTCCAGTCGGAAACTCCAGGCTCATTCGTGGTTTAGGCTGATATTCCCTTCTAGGCTGAGATGAAGCTTGCCTTATTCTGCATTAAAAAGAAAAGGTGGGGAGGGGGTAAGAGTATGTAGCCAATTAAGAAGCAAAAAGAAAAGCAGTGGTATCCAGGAAGGCTACCAATGTGGAGCAGGGAAAATCTCAAAAGAACCCATAGCCGTCTTATCTGTAGGAGGTCTCTGCTTTCAGTGGTGTCCCTCTGGTCACACCCTCACCATCTTCAACCTTTCTCTCAATCCCTTCCTCATTTATTCAGAGCTCCCTGTGAAAATGTGCTGGGAACCCAAAAATGAATGAGACACAGTTCTTGCCCTCAAGCACCTTATGGTGTGTAAGGGAGATGGAACATAACTGAGTACCATACACTGTGGTAAGTGCGGTTATGGAGATACATACAAAATGCTACAGGAACATGGGGGTGGGAGAGGGCAGGAGTCTACCTGCCCACAGAAAGGCTTATGGAAGGAGAGAAAACACAGCTAAGAGTCATTTCCAGATGAACAGTCCTTTCCAGAAGAACTCAAGAGCTTGAAAAGATTTGGAAGGAGGAAATACCCTGAGAAGAGTGAGCAGTTTGAGATACAAGAAGGGGAAAGAAATGAGGGAAGACAGGAGGAAAGTGGAAAGGTGTAGACAATAAATACATTCCGTACACCCCCAAGTATTCTCCATAGTCTCAGATGCATATGGAGCAAAGTGTACAGATTTGCAAGGACAGGGAGAGGTTAAGATATGGTGACTGTAGAATGATACTGACTTTGAACATATTTCAGAGAGATAAAAGGAAAATGGCCCTTCTGCTCAACAGATGTCACAAAGACATATAATACTTCTTTAGTATGTTGAAGTGCATGCTTTTAGATCTTTCTCGAGGTTTCTGAGTGTTGCACACATTTCCATGAGGGTGCATGGAGGAAAGCTGCACAATGTGGTATGTGTTACAGTAAGGAGCTCTGTCTAAGTTGTGCAGGTTGGGACCCTGCAACTCCAGGGAGCCCCATTCAGAAGACTACCATGGCCTCACAGTGGGGTGCACCTGAGGAGACAGAACAGGCACACAAAAGCTGTCCCTCTGACGGTGGAGGGTTCTTACATGGTGTGAAAAGATACAGGCTTTTAAACAGATTATGCCTGCCTGGCGAACCCTGGTTACACCACGGTGTGACCCTGGGCTAGTTACTTGATCTCCCTGGGCTCCCACCTTTAGGTGAAGCTAATCATACTTAGTTTACAGAGCTGTTTCATAAGACGGGTGATGATATGCCTCCAGTACGCACACAGAATATGTGCTCAGCAAATCACATCCATTATCCTCAGTAGCACCCGGCTTCCCACCTGTGGTGGCCAACACACAGTCCAAGCATTGGCTTCTCACAAACACAAGAGTACATTCAAGGGAACAAAAGTAAAACAAAGCACAAGACCCACAAAAGTCAAGACAAATAATCCACAAAGTGCCTATGCAGAATCAAAACTTTTGGCACAAGTTTTACTTCAAATGGACTCCATTATTTCCATTTCTTTACCCATCATTTCATAGAAAGAAAATGGAAGTGTAAAATTCAGGAACTGTTGAGATACCTTTCTTCCAGTCTGACAGTGACTTGCTGCAGGATCTGGACCGCCTGCTTGTGGTATTCCAGCTGGGCTTGGACGAGTGCAGACAGCTGGCTCACCTGTTCGATCTGCAGGCCGATGGGGTGGGGGTGGGGGTGGGGGGGGGAGACACGCCTTAGTTACCAGATTACCATCTTTAAGCAACCACTCCTGCCCCAGCACATATATGACAGAGCTACCCTGACACACAACCCCAATCTCCAGCGCCAGGAGATATTTCAGGTTCCATATCAGTTAAGGATAAGAAGCATCCATATGCTTGGAAACACCAATACCACAAGGAGTAGTTAGGAATCCAACTGAAGATCACACACAACTGTCACTGAAAGTCTCATTCTTAGCTACAAACTTCCAGCTGGGTTTGGCTAATTTTACTGATTTCTTATAGGAAAAAGATACATTGACCAAAGGACTCTTGGTGCCCTGTACTTTTCATGCTCTTTCAATCTATCTGCAATGTAAAGAGGCTGGGTCAATGCTTGGGTGCATTTCAGCTCCAATATTCTAGGCATCCTCAGTTACTCTTCATTTTGTGTCTCAGGCTGTGACCTAGCTGAGTATTTCCCTCCAAGTCAGCAGGGGCAATGCTATTTCCATAAGTTTTGGGGTGGAATGGGGCCCTGGGAAGGAACACTGTGATTCAGGTCACACCTTGTGCCTAGAGCATCCTTCTTTAGCAGGCAGGTGAAACACCAGTTGTTTCACATAAACAAAAACCTACACTGTGTCTCTGGGTGGTGGGAAAATCCAGGTATGTTCAACATGCCTCCCCTATCACCAGTCAGGGCAAATCGGGTAACTGATAAGCACATAAAGGCTCTGTAAACATCTTAGAAGAAGTTGGTTGGCAAATGATAGGGCCAGAGGTGGGAGTGAGCAAGAGCTTGAAAGCTGTTTAGCAGGTTTTATTACATGAGCAGTCAGAAGTCCTCATGGCTATGAGGCTGAAAGGACTCAATGGAATATGATTTCTAAAGCCACAAATAATAATTTGGTGCTCTGGAAATGTAAAAATAGCTTTAAACTTCGTTATACATGCCCCCAAATACGGTATCTATGCTACAATCATCAAACTCATTGAAATTAGTTTTTGAAAGAAAATATCAACTTGACTTCAAAATACAGAACATCTTAACCTATACTGGGACCCTCAATTCTAAATGCATTTTAGGTGATATTCTTTTATAATCTGAAGCCAATCTGCCAAATATTTCAACAAAGTATTTTAAGCTACTGAACCTTTACATGAATCATCAGAAAGATTCTTCATCTTCTCACCACTGGTAATTCTTTAAGGTCATTAGGAGTCAAACATCTAGTTAGATCAAACCATGATAATACAGAAAAAAACCTTACCATTTCTTGATCTACTTTATTTTTTTCAATTTTTTTAAAAGAAATAACTATCTGCTGAAGTTCTCACCACATAGTGTAATCAGATATGCACATTTTAAATTATATAACCCTTTAACATAATCTTGAGTCTCAACGGCAAGATTAAATTAGAAACCACAGGACAGTCACTCACATCCATCTCTAAGAGATTAAACATGCTTGACTCAGCAATTTCTTTAGATTCATCAAATTTCTCCAGAGCCTGACGGAGCTCTTCATCTGGAATCTTGCCTTGTCGTTTTTTCTTATAATCAAAGTCCAGGCGTCGACCTTCCAACTTCTTTAGATGATGCTGAAAAAGTCAAGGGCGGCAATATGCTTTGAAAGGATTCATGGAAAGGGCCTATTTTTAGTCTACTTCTCTGTCGTGCCTATTAGCCTCCAAAATAAGACAGGCTAAGTTCTAAAATATCATGTTACCAGAAAAATAAAGAAACCTGCAACAGTGGGGCAAATGTTTCCAAAGGCTTAATGTGGAGAAGCATCTTTAAAAACAATTAAGAGTAAGAAAGAAATTGTGGGAATTACCAGTGCCCTTTATTTTCTGACCTTGCTGGGCCAAAACCAAGCTGGGCATGATAGCAGCTGGGAATATGTGCATACCGCCTCACATGTGGAAAACACTGCTACATAGAACCCACAAGTTCCCATCTTCAAGAGAAACGGTAGCTTGCAAGAAGGCAGGGGGAAAAACACTTCCCTTGAAAAGAAGTGAAAAAGACTGGCATTCTTGTTTTTTGAGTCCTAGAATATTAATGCTGGAAGGGACTTATCTTTGAGGAAATCAGTCTGTTAGAATCACATAAGTTGCTTATCAGAAATATGGATTACTGATCACCTGCATTAACATATCCAGGGCCAGCGTCTAGTAATCTCTATCTTAACCCTTAGTCCTTGGTGACCGATGTAGCTTTCAGGGAACCATTGATGAGTTTAAGTCTCCCATTTGGTAGGTGATTAAACCAGTGGACAAAACCTAACTCAGAAGGGACAATAGACGGGGTCTAATGCCCCACAGTGCTCTTCAACCCCTCCGTGCATCCTTCCTCACTGCCTGGCCACTCAACGTCTGCCCAACACATCTAGTGACAAAGTGGGAAAGTCGTTTCCCACTGCTACAAAGTGTCTTTTGCAAAGAGCTGCAGTGTTGCATTACTAATGGGTGGGAGGAAACGCTAAACTTCCCTGATCCTGGGCGTGTATGGAAAGAAAGGGAGGGAGATGAAAACAGAGTTGGGAGCGGCAAAGAAATGAGAAGGAAAAGAGGAAGAAAAATATCCTAGACCTTCCCTTCCACTGTATACCCTGCCTGCAATCCACACCCTGATCCAAGTTAAATGTTTGCTCCTTTGGAAGGGATAGTCTTAAAACACACTTGAACTTGCAGTCAGGGTAGAGTATTGGAGGTGCGGTTAACATTGTAGACTTAGAGTGAGTCTGCCACTTACTAACTGCAATCTTGAGCAAGTGATACGGGGGAGGAGACTAGAGAAAAAGCCGTCTAAGGGACTTCAAGCTGTAGATGACCACATTACAATAAAGTTAAATTTCAGAGAAGTTCCATAAATATATGTTGAAGGAATGAATGAGTAAACATTATACACATAGATGGAGGCAAAGCCAGTTGAACTTTATTTATTTGGAAGAGCTCACTCTTCTCCATGTTTCATAAAGAGGATAGTTGGTTATTCTTCCTCAGTCCTAACAATCATCATGAAAATATGAAAACGTGTTTATAGAATGATAGTATAGCTATTTACCTAAGCTAACAACGATACATCTAACAACTGTTTTAGAGGGTGAAATCAGCCCAGAAAGACATAATTAATAACACTGGATAGTATCAGGGAAGGATATTATTCTTCTGGAGAAAAAAAAAAAAAAAGCTTGAAAAACCTGAAGACTGAATGTGGAAAAGTCAAATGTAATATTCATAAGAGGCCCAATCATAATAGTGGGGCAAAAGAACTGCATTTCCGGTTAATCTCAATTTGTCTAGCTGGGTTGTTTTTAATTCAAACCTGACCACACACGATAAGCTTAAAACAAAAGTTTTGTGAAGAAAAAGGACACCTACATCTGCACATTCAAACTGCTTGCTTCCTAAAGGACTGGTTGCAGATACCTGAATTTCTCTCAGATCTTTGTCATGAAGGTTCTGAAGGGGGTCAATGAAGTTTTGCTTCACTTCCATGTCCAATGAGTCTTTCACCTCCGAGAGCTCCCGCATGGCCTCCCCCACTTCACCAAGGGCTGGGCCTGGAAGGGGAGAATGAGTCTGTTTCACGTTAAAGGACAAAGGTGAAATGTATATGCAGTCATAGGGCCACCACAGGTGAAAACCCAGGGACTACTGCCTGTCTTGCGAGGACAATGGAGATGAGAGGCATTACATAATGTCCTCTAGAGAGCAGTGTGTTTCCACCTAAGACAGTCCATACAGTACAAATTCAATGCTACCAAGGCGGAGGTATCTCTTATTATGAAGAACATAACATTTTGTTTTTCCTTTAAAAAGCAATTTTGGAAGCTCTCTACCCTCCCTTGTCAGTATGGGCTTTCCCTAATAGGGAACCTGTTTAAGGCCAACGCATTTAGCAGAAGCAAATATAAGGAACAGATATTTATTTGCTGAGACTTCCCATCATGAAGAAGTGAAAACAGAAGTGTTTAGTATGGTGACTGAGTCGGACAAGAGAGGGGTGAAGGAATTCATCTGGGGTGGTAGATCTCAGAGAAAGCTTATGGGGCAAGGTATTACATCATACAGACTGTTCCCTCTGCCCTAATATTCAGTTATGTCAGACACACTCCACAGTGAGCTTCCAGGCATCTGGATGTGTTCACCAGCTACTGTAAAGATTAGGATCTCATCAGGGAAAAAGAAAATAACTAAAACCTCTACTAAGACAAATCACACTAAACATGAAATGACTCTGAAGACAAATTTTTGGCCCATGCATATAAGATGTAAAACAGAATCAAAATATAAAATGGTTTGAATAATTTCCTGCAGCGTCTTACTGGCACTAAGTCCCCACGGACAAATGAAAGAACAGAAGTGTGAGAAAGCACACATTACCAAAGTTGCAATCATCTCCAAGCTCTCTTCCAAACTTGAGCATGGCCTCTGCCAGCAGTGCTTCTGCCTGGGGATAGCCTGGCCCTTTCTCCTGGCCACGGATTTTTGACATGGTGTTGATCATGCTAAGTTTAGCTCTGGAAGCTGGAAGCAAAGAGATCACAGACGTTCACAATAGGCAATGTGATATAGCAGAGACAGGGCCGGAAGGAGAATCAGGCCTTAACTGGCCCATAAACCACCTCAGCTATGAACAATTACATCTGCACCTTCCTAGCTTTGGTGTCTTCATCTGTAATATGAGGAGGCTGGCCTACAGATTGATATCAACAGACTTTTTTTTTTTTTAATCACCAAACTTTCCCTTTCTTTCAATACTTACAGGGAACTTAATAGAAAAAGCAAAGCTCTTCTGGGTGGAGATCCTACCCTCATGTGGTCTCCATCTTCCTGTGTACTTTTCCAATCCTCTCTTCACTGTGGTGGCTCTGGCAGTACCTCTGTGGAGCTGGGAGGCCCCATGGGAAGCATTTTGAAAACTACTGAATTATGCATTCTCTAAGTTTTAGGATTCAAGTTTATCTTTCAATTCTAGGAGTCTATGGACAAAAGTAGGAAATTGTTAATTTTTACCATGGGAGCCTTATGCCGAATTTTACTTACACCCATTTTTTCAAAATCACTGTTCAACTAAGATTCTGATGGTAAACAGACCCATGAACAACAGAAATACTGAGTTCATTAAAAAGACTTAATCACTTCCCTAGAACATAATGGCTTCTGAGAATTAGTTTCATGCCACAAAGACAGCACTTCAATTTCTTTTTTGCTATTGTTTTTATAAAAGATGCTTAGAAGCAACTCCAGTTTTCCTGGAAGAAAAAGTTTTTCTAACACAGTGTTAAAGAGAATTTCTTGATGCTAGGATACTAGATTTCCTCAGGTTCATTATTAGAGTTGGGCTGTACATTAGCCTAGGATTGTGCCCAGGATCCCATCTGCATGGAAACCCCTGAATGAACCACTGCCAAAGACACTTCCAGCATTATCAGTGGCCGATATTTAATCTTGAGCATTTGTTTCAAATAGTTTTTAAAAAGTTTTTATTTCAACTCTAGTTAATATATAGTGTTATATTAGTTTCAGATGTACAATATAGTGATTCAACAGTTCCCTATAACATCCGGTGCTCATCACAACAAGTATACTCCTTAATCCCCATCACCTATTTAACTCACTGCCCCCTCCATCTCCCCTCTGGTAACCATTAGTTTGTTCTCTACAGTTAAGTCTGTTTCTTGGTTTGCCTCTCTTTTTTCCCCTCTACTCATTTGTTTTATTTCTTAAATTCCATCTATGAGTGTAATCATATATTTGTCTTTCTCTAACTGCCTTATTTTGCTTAGCATAATACTCTCTAGCTCCATCCACATCAATGCAAATGGCAAGATTTCATTCTCTTTTATAGCTGAATAATATTCATATATATCACATCTTTTTTTCCCTCAGATCTAGGGTTAGGGATAGGGCCAGGGTGAGGGTATGTGCCTGGTATCCTGCAGGTCAGGTCCCTACAGAGGGTGTTAGGGTTAGGGGTTAGGCTTTAGGGGTGAGGGTAGGGTTAGGGCTAGGGTTAAAGTATGTGCCTGGTATCCTGCAGTTCAGAGATCTCTCCAGAGGATAAAATCCCGAATTTATGCTAGAATGGGAATAGACATGTGAGCCATCTATTGAGCTGAGGCAAGGTGGGATTTAAGTTTTTATTTTAATTCCAGATAGCTAATATACAGTGTTGTATAGTTTCAGGTGTACAATATAGCAATTTAACACTTCCATACATCACAAATAGGCTTTTATTTAAATTTGGGATTCCAAGGTCAAAACTGGAGATGAGGACAGTTATCATGAGAGGACTCTTCCCAGCCTAGCCCCAGGGGTATATATTATAATGAACAAGGAAGATATGGTGCTTCCCTTTAGGAAGTTTACAGTGAACTAAGGGGAGCATCTATTTTAAAACAATTAGAATGAAGTACATATACTAAGTGCCATGGTGGGGGATTATAGCAAGTTACAGAAGTACAGCATCACCTCAGTCTGAGGGCAGAGGGCATTGCAAAGGATTCTGGAGGGAAGTATCTTTAAGCTTAGAATCACATAGTGACTAGCAGTTAGTTGAGCTAATAGTATATGCAAAGCCTGGTGGTAACTGGAAAAAATATATATATATACATATATAAAATTCAAATTTTCCTTACTCTGCTTTTCAAAGTATATATGTGTTAATTTTCAAAAATTGAAATTGCTACATGGTCACACATTTTTGAGGGAACAGTATTATTAGAGCATATTTTCAAAGCCTTTTCCAAAATAAGTCGTATCAGAGATCCCGGAAGGAACACGGTCCCTGCCCTCAGTGTGCTCACAGTACAGTGAGGTGTGAAATAAACAGACAGTGGCAACAAACATAAATGCAACGATGGCTAATGTGTACAAGGTACTGGGAGAGTACAGAGAAGAAGCCATAAAAGCACAAATAAAAGTGAAATAAGCAAACATCAGACAATAAGAATTATAGAATGAATAGAAGGAAAGAAGATAAATGGAGGCCAATGAAATACAATACGGAAACCACACATGGTAGTTAATCCCTTCAAATCCTGTTTTGACTACACTCTGAAGACTTACTCCTTTTACAAAAGTTGGTATTGATTTGTGCTTATAGCTTGGTTCTGTTAAAAGTCCTCTGTGGTTAAGTAATGACCAGAAGTAATTGAAATGGTTTAATACTGTGGCTGATTTTCAAAGTCATCATTCTTATTCTTCTACTAATTACTTAAAAATATCTTGGAATTTTTCTACATTTTCATGAAAAGGGTATTCATACCCTTTTCAATACCATACCTATTCAATACCATACCTATTAGTTTATTTCTTCAAATCCTCTAAAATATCTATTGATCCACATATTATTCTCCATACTATGAAAAGGCTGGCTTTTAAATTCATTCACAAACTCCTTAAATATTTATCAAGAATCTCTAGTTAGTAAAATTTCTGTGTTCTTGAAAACGATCATCAGACCTCTGAATTCATCATCTTTAAATATAACATAATTGTATTTAAATGATTTTTTTAAAGCTGTATTTTAAGAAACAGAAAGTAAACCTGGAAAATACAAATTTCAGACATTAGAATTCCTATAGTATGGTCTCTTCTCTTTCAAATTATCTTTTTTGCTTTCTCATAAGTTTTCTCACAAATTTTTACAATCTCTGAGGCTACAGCCCCATATTTACTGTTCCAGCTTTGCTATCCTAGTTCAAGTTTCCCCCACTGGGTTTACTGCTGAAACAGCTTGTCAACAGTAATCCCTCCCCTGGTCCATGGGAACAGGATCCTGGTATGCTGATGGGTGTATCTCCCAGATGGGTTAGCATAACCCCGTGTACACTGTGGATGTTTAACACATGCCCACTGAAGTAAGAATAAATGAAAGAAGAGATTATCTTGAAAACTAGTAGAATATCATGGCAATGGTTTCCATAAGTAGACTCTGCTCACATCCATTGGCTCATGTGCCTAAGAGCCTATAAAAGCATAACAGAGAATGAGAAATAGAAAACTTGTTTCTTTTTGTTGAAAAATAAAAGATTTCTTTTAGGAGAGAAGGGAAGACATCTATCTGACTCAGCTTAGAATAGGCTTCTATACTGAAAACAGGACATTAGGGCCTGTCCATATAGTGAACAATGAGATTTCCTCTACCCACTTCCCCTAATTGTCGCCCAGAGAACTGGCAGCCAGGTTAGTACCTTCCAGGTAGGGAACTAGAAAATTTTTCTAGGGGGAATACAAATAATCCAAAAGAAGAGACCTACAGACACTGGTAGCTGTTAAGTACCGAATACACCAATCCAGGCTATTCAGCCTAGAAAGAAGCTATTACAGTTTATAAGCCCCCACTAACTCCCACACAGCTTTACTGCCCTACACTTAAGTGGAAAAATATAGACACCAACACCAGATTTTGAAAAAGGTTTCTAACATAAAGGAACCAAAATAAATAAGGCAATTACAGGGAACAAACCATTCTTGGAGGGAAAAATAACTATCATTAATATTCTCAGGTGTCTAAGACACTTTGTCCATGAAATAAAAAAAGAGACAAAGAAGAATTCTTAGGAATTAAAATATAATTTAAGTTTAAATACGAACTTAAGTAAAATATAAAACTAAAAATCATGGACACATAAAGTTGAGGCAAATTACCCAAAAAATCGTACAAAATTTTAAAACTAGAGAGAAAATCAGAAAGAAAGCATAAAATCAGGATCAGTCCAGGAGGTCTAATGACTGAATAACAGAAGTTCCAAAAAGAAAAAAAACACAAAGAAATATAAGGGTAATATATTCTTTTTAAAAGTTAAAGAAAATTTCTGAGAACTGATGAATGTGTGTTTCCTGATTGGAAGAGGCCACTGAATGCCTAACACAATGGATAAAAGGGTCCACGTGGAGGGCCATTAATAAGAAATTTCACTGAGAACACAAAGAAGTTCCTAAAACCTTTCAGAGAGGAAAAAATAGGTTATATACAAATATCAAGAATTAGAAGGTAATTGAACATGAGAATATCATGAAAACCATGAGAAATTTCCACATAAACAATGTAGTGATGACTAAAAATTTCTTAAATAATATATAATTCTATATTCAAATTATCAATGAAGCATGAAGGTAGAATGATGACATTTTCAGACACACAAAGAAGGATTCTGGTCATTTTTCTTCCCAAGCTAATGGAAGAGGCAGTCTACCAAAATGAAGGTGTAACTCAAGAAAAGGGACAGTACAGAATCTAAAAAAAGAGATCCAATACAAGGAAAGATGTAAAAATGATGACAAAAGGAAATCTCAAGATGGCTATTGCACATCATGCACTAAGGGCAACTGTAGCTGATGCTACACATCATAACCAGGTCCACGTAGCAGAGGAAGCCATGAGCTACAAGGGAGCTACAGGCTCCCCAAGATCCTCCATGGAGTCAAGTTACAGTTATCTACCACTGTACCTTGCTTTATAATGCACCCTTCTTTGGCTTCCCCTCTTCCCTACTTCCCTCAAGGTTTCCTGGAATCAC